ATACAGTTTAATTTCTTCCTAAAATATAGTTACTTAAATCCTCCGCAATTCTCGTTAGCATCAGTTACATACGATCTTCAAATTCCTATAATAATAAATCAAGCGATATCGGGATTATTTAAAAAAGAAAAAAGCAAGAGGTTAATTAGGTTAAACAATGAGAGAAAGGAGTTGGTATAATACAAGAGAAGAGATAGAAGTAAAGTCTCCATCGAGACTAGACGGTATCGACTTAAAGCAAGAGAGTTTCCAACGTTGGTCTTACTCTACTTTCCTCCAAGAGCTTGGCAAGACTCTAAACAATCATCAGAAATCCATAGCTACATCGATAGTCTTATGCCAAAGATTCTTCACTCGCCAATCTCTGGTGAAGAACGACCCCAAAATAATCAGCATCATATGTATGTTTATCGCTGGAAAAGTCGAAGGGTCTCCTAGACCGGTTGGTGACGTCATCTCCAAGGCTTACTGGCTTTTACATGGCAAGGAACCGTCGACGGAGGTGTGCGAGAGATTGAAGGGGACCGTGCTAACCGGTGAGAAGTTTGTGATGTCGACGTTAAGGTTTGATCTCGAAATCGAACACCCTTATGAACCGGCTCTGGAATGGGTTAGGAGATCGGTTAAGGTCGAGATGGATGCTAGGAAAGTGTCTCAGGGTGCGTGGAATTTCATTAATGACAGTTTAAGGTCGTCACTTTGTTTGCAGTTCAGGCCGCGTCAGATCGCTGCGGCTGCTATATATCTCGGCTCGGGCATTATGAAGGTGAAGTTACCATGTGATGGGGAGAAAGATTGGTGGCTAGAATTTGGTGTAACGAAACGTCAATTAATAGATATTTGTAACCAGATGCTCGGAATTTTCCAACAAGATTTCCTCGTTCCGGTTATACATAAGGACTAGACAGGGCTTGTAAGGTTTTAGTCTAAACCAATCAGACTCTATTTGATTGAGAACTTAAGGTGGTGAGAAACCCTGCGATTGTTACAAAACATCATAAATAATAACGAATTTCTTTGTAGTGTATATTTATCACAATTAGTAATTTGAAATTTTTTCTCAAACCAAGCCGAGCTTGAGGCCGAAGACTGGTCACCTTCTGTCGACTTCGTTCTCTCGAGCTTCAAAAACTTTTATGAATAGATCTAAATCCGGGTCCAACAAAGTAGATCCAAATAGATATGGTTCTATACATGCAATGAGTGTGGGATGTGTTGCATATTGTGGGAGATTTCGACTAGGTTATGCCAGGTTCAGTTAATTCTCTCTAATGATCGAAGTGGTATCTAACACCACGATTTGTAGACCATTTGCTCTGTGTGTAGTAACTCTCGATGCAAGCTCCCTTAAGGCTTCCAAGGCCGGAGTTGAATGTAAAAGTTTGCTCTTCTATTTGTTATTACATACTACGTTAGTGAATAGAAATTTCTTTATTCATTTATTTTTGAGTTACTTCTGTAAGAATGTTGTTGTACGTTCTATGTTATGAATCCCAATTGCACTCAAGGTCGATCAAATTTGTCCCAATCTTTACTACAGCTCACACACTCTTTCTTTCTTCAGGAAGTCAGACGTTGTAACCTTAACTCGTGGATATCCAATAAGCACTCCCTTGAGAGCTCGTGGCTGTGGCTCCCATGATCTATATGACTAGAGAGCTAAATCTCTTCAAGTGTGAATATCCTGGTTATTTGCCAAAGCTAAACTAGTTCTGCAGTATCACCATCATTTGCTGATGAAACCACTCTTGTTTATTAAGTAAGCAGATGTTAGTTGCGGGTTAGCCTAGTGGTACTTGAGAGAGCTTCGGTCTCAATACAGTCTTGGGTTCGATTCCCACTGACCATCAGGGCTAGCGTTAAATCGCAAGAATACGTGGAGTGCCGTGGGCTTTAGGGGAATAGTCGGTTGGTCACGGCCGCCGGATCAGCCATGTTAATAAAAAAAGTTAGCTGCAGATTTAGCATAGTGCTGGAGAAAGAGTTGACTAATTGGACCATTGGATCCGTAACACCGCTGCTTTTTCTGGTGTCTCTAGGTATTGAAGTTCTAATAACAGTTCCATTGAGAGGTTGTAGAGGGGATCTAACAATGAAAATAAATTTTTAAAAAAATTAAAGAAAGAGAAAATTCTGATTTTGATACTCCGAACATCTAAATGTTTTCCATATGTCCTTATCTAACTAATTTAGTGAAGAGAAAACAAACATTAAAATCTTGAACTTACATATTAAAGTTAAAAAAATTTCAACTCGTGTTTGAATCAAAGAAATCTCCAACTTTTCAATATTAACCATTTTAGTTCTCATATTTTGTTAACTCGGCCATTTAAAAAAGATGAATAGTCAACATGTAAAACTCAATTATAAAAATAGATGTATATTAACTCTCTAGACGATGTCATTTTAAAAAAAAAAATCAGTCAAAGAAAACTGTTTTGCTTCTAAACACTTAAAGCATCTTTTTCGTGAAACTAGAACACCAATCAACTTCATCTTCTTTAGTCAAAAATGAGGAAGATGAAATCGGTGTAGGGTTCTGGTTTCGCTAATAAAATGTTTTAAGCATTTACAATAGCAAAACTACGTTGTTTGGTTGATATTTAATCATTATTTTGAAACAACATCTTTTAAAGAGTTAACAGACGTCTATTATATTTAATCGAGTTTAAAAGTTAACTATTATCAAGTTTTCTTAAATGATCGAGTCAACAAAATATAAGAGTTCAAAAGTTAATATTTGAAAGTTTCATAAACATAAATTGGAAGATTTTTTAGTGTTAATTTGAAAACTAATGGTCTTAATAGTCATTTTCTTTTTAATTTAATAGGATTGTTGTTTCAGGCTTTTAGAATAGATTTTGGTTTTTGTTTCTTCAAAAACCAATTTTCTTCCAATCAAGCTTTTTTATAAAATAGATTTTCTAAAATCTAAAGAAACTAGTTTTTTAAATAACTGTCTACAAATTTAAGGAAACAATAACTAACTTTTTCTAGTTTCTGGTTGAAAATAAATTTTCCTTTTTCTTTGCTACAAATATAACTATTCATCTTTTGAAATTTTTATATATATATATATATATACTATTAAAGCAAAATCCCTAATAGGATTATGCCCTTAATTTTCAGTGATAATTACATTACTATGCCATTAGCCATTTCTAAAAATTTAATTTATCTAAGAAAATAATCTAACTATATTCCCTACTTAATTGCAAAATATTTTGTGGTATATTCACGAACTAGAAACACTTTTGTCAAAATATTAATGTATCATGACATATACCTATGTTTATCACTCAACACAAACAACCTACAAAATCGACTTGACATATACCTATCTACCATATTCATTAGTTGACATATATGTATCACAACCATAATCACACCAGAGAGAAAACCAATAATTCAATGTCCTATTTTGTCCGATGATCTTTCCTTTCAGTATAACAAAGAAGTTCCTGACGACACAAACAAAATAGAATCAAGAGACAGAAACCAACACCACAAACACACAAATAGCTAAACAAACTTGCAACAAACAAATTAAAATAAACTTGCAAAATCAAACACACGAAACATAACATAATTGAAACAAACTTGCAAGCAAATACATAATCAGACAAAAATAACATATCAAATTTGCAAAAAAAATGAAAAAGACGAATTAGAAGGTTTACCTTTCGAATCTAGGAGAGCCACCCACAGAATCGTCCGTGCCGGAGAAGACCAACAGAGAGACACATGCAAAACAGAACAATCAAATAAAATCGAAGACATGCTTAATTGAACAACAGAACAAAGAAGAATCATAATTGAACAAAGACAATACCTTTCGCTTTTGAGGAGAGCCAAACAGAGAGAGAGATCCGTCGCCGAGTATCGTCGAGAAGATCTCTGGCGACAGCCACCGAGAGACGGAGTCGGATTCGACGAGAGGTGAATAACGAACACCGGATTTGTAGACTGATTCTTTAGACGAGAGGAGATGACAGACGATGTTTTCCCCTGAAAATCATCTGATTTCGGAAAACTGGGAGAGAGATAGAGATGAAAGAGAGACGGAGAGACAAATGTTTGACGCGTATCCCACTAAGCGTTAAGCGTCATCTTTTCCTTCATCTTTTCCTTCGCTTAATTAAGCAACATTGTTTCAATTAAAAGGTAATTTTCTTTTATTTTTAATCACAATTATCATAAGCAACCTTTATTAACAACTGCGATAAAAATGCTCTTAGTACCTATTAGTATTTGTAAGTAGACTATATGTTTTCATGCATCAGTTATTGTGAAAAAAATTAAAATATTTATTTAACAGATAAATATAAATTTAAAATCTAAATTCACCAGTCAAGTTTTTTCAAAAAACTAAAATCTACACTAAAATAAAAAAAAACAAAAATTAAAAGCTAAAAATCATCAAAACAATCATCACCAAAATCAAAACTTAATTATTTACTTTAAATACTATTATTTTGATTTTAGAAACCTCTGTTTTGTAAACTCATCAATAAGGTTTTTTTTTTTTTTTTTTTTTGAGAACAGCTCACCAATAAGGTTGCTCTAACATATGCATTCCATTTGCTCTTAAGGCTTCCACAAACATTACGCTCGATTCCACTTTGCACCGATCATAATCACATTTAAAACCATAACCCACAAGCTGTCTGTCTCTTTTGTCTGTTAACCTTATCCTTAGCAACTAGGGGCGAGAATAGGGAGAGTTTACCAGAGGAGTATCAAGCCATATACAACTTAAAAAGTAAAATAAAAGTGACCATATTTCTTTCTAGTGGCAAGAAAAATGATCCAATATCACAACAAAACTATTTCAACTAATTCTGAAGACTGTCTTAGGGCAAAAGAAAGACCTTAACACGGAAGAGCTCTAAAGCTAGAATGTTCTTTTTTTCCAAAACTGAGTAGCAAACAGCAAAACAACACACAAAATTGAAAAGAGATTTCGAGACTTCCAGTTAACAACCTTGAAACTTCTAGTCTCATGGGTTTCCGCCAACTTCATCCTCCTTAACACTTCCACAAACATTACATTCAAGAAACCTCGAAACATCATCATGACCCTTGGGCGGTAACGGAGCAAGAGTGCCAAAACAATTCTCCTTCTCACACATATATCTCGCAAAGAAGTAAGCGTGAGGGAAACTAGATTCATCATCACCACAACCTTCCTCTTCTTCTTCTTCCTCCATCTCTTCTTCCTGATCATCTTCACCACCATCCATCTCATCCATAGCCTCCTCGTTCTCATCATCCTCACCTTCAGACCAACTAGACTCCACTTTACACCGATCACACTCACATCTAAAACCGTAATCCTCAAGCAACCTCTTCTGTCTACCAGCGTAATTCATGTTGACAGGGAAGTAACTCAAACAGACTTCCCTACCTAGAGGAACATCATGAATCATCCTAATGATGATATCAGTATTGTTCCCATCAGAAGAAGCAGAGTCAACGTAATCGAATCTACAAGCATTAGGAAGACAATCATGATTAAAAAATGACGTCTTCGGATAAATCCCATACGCTCGTACCGATCTCTTCTCGTTACAAACAGAGAACGGCTCCATCAAACCGAATCCGTTAACCTTATCCTTCTCCAGTAGAGCCGCCGTGAGCTCCGGCGAGATCGGGACCGGAAGAGGTGGACACACAGAGGATAGGAGAGCGT